GCCATGGATCGTTGCGCTTGCAACCAAGGCAAATCTCATCTCAATGATCACTGGCATTAGCCATGAGCGATTGAATGTGTTGCACAGATGGGCGGCGTACATCTGCCTGTTGCTGAGCATCTTGCACACTGTCCCCTTCTACGTCACACCCGTCTGGGAGAAGGGCGCGCAGCAAGCGTTCCAGCAGCTGCTTCAGCAACAGAGCGGGATGTACATTTACGGAACTGGTACGACTACCCTCTTCAATAACGGATCAAGTACTGACAATTCTCAGGTATTGCAGCACTCGTGCCACTGTGCTTCCTATGTACGCATTCTATTGCGCCTCTCCGCCACCGAATGTACGAACTGTTCGTGGCTCTGCACGTACCCGTTGCCATTGTCTTCCTCGGAATGATGTTCTGGCATTGCAACAATTACCTAACGTCATGGCACTACTTACTGTCAACTCTGGGAATCTGGCTCCTCTCCTACTTCATGCGCCTGTTCTATCTGAACTGGACTCGCCCAGGCCAGCTATCCTGGCTTATTGGCGATGAGGCCGCCGTGACGCTCATGCCAGAAAACGCCATCAAGATCACCATCCCAACCAAGATGCGGTGGAGACCTGGACAGTACGTCTATCTCCGCATGCCTGGAATCTCGGTCTTCGAAAACCACCCCTTCACCATCGCTTCGCTATGCAGCGAGGACTTCCCTTCGGAGTACGGCGAGGGCTACCGGGACATGGTCCTCGTCTTCCGCCCATTCGGCGGCTTCACGAGGAAGGTCCTCAACAACGCTCTCGATCACGGCCCATGGCACACATACCGTGCCTTTGTCGATGGTCCGTATGGAGGCATGCAGAGGCGTATTGAGGCATTTGATGACGTCGTACTCATTGCTGGAGGCAGTGGTATCACTGCCATCGTATCGCAGTTGCTGTCTCTTATCAAAAAGATGCGCGATGGCAAAGCTGTTACCCGAAAGATCCATGTGATCTGGGCCCTCAAGCGTCCCGAAACCATGGAGTGGTTCAAAGAGGAACTGCGCATCTGCCGCGAGTATGCGCCTCCCGAGACGGTCGAGTGCCAATTCTACATTACCGCCGCGAAGCGCAACCTACACGGCGGACTTGTCAGCGCAAAGACGCCTACCCGTCCTGTGTCGATGTTCTTTCACGACAAGGTCAACGATGCTTTCCAGAACATCGCCGACCACCGCCTTTCCGGTGTTTCCGGTATTTCCTCAAAACGACACTCGGCTCTTATCCGCGACGAAGCACAGGGAGACCCAGAGAAGGAGTCTGAACTGCGTCGCGAGAACGAAGACAGCATCACAGCGCTTCCACAAGCGCACATGGTCCCCATCAATCGGGGCCACCTCGCACCACCACGTCCAAGTTACAACAGCGGGCGAAACTCTGCCGAATCAGCACATAGCTCGAACCCCGATCTTATAGCGCCTGCGCCACGCGGCCTTGCTGCCCGACGTCAAGAACGCAATCTGTCCCTCGACATCAGTCAAGCCGTCTCTTCGGGTTCCGGCGCGATTAATCCGGACATCTCCCACAACCCTACCGAAGGCGGGCAGGGTTTCGACTTCGGTTTCCCGTCGACACCCACTGAGTTCCAAAAGAACCTCATGCGCTTCGCATTTCTACCTGCGGCCGTCAAGAAGAAGGATGGCTGGAGCACTGAGTACGGACGCCCGGATATACCATATCTGCTCAAGGGACTGAGCAAGAACTTTGGGCGCAGAACGTGTGTGTTCGTTTGCGGACCCCCCACCATGCGCGTTAGTGTGAGTGAGACGATTGCGCAACTCCAAAGGAGTGTGTGGAGTGACAGTGGGCGCGATGAGATTTTCCTCCACGCCGAGAACTACGCCTTATAGAGCGTGGGTGTACTTTTCTTTACCTTCATTTGTGCATAGCGTTTGGACGGCTTGGTGTATATACCCCCTTTCTTTTCTTTTCTTTTTATATCTCTGTATCTGTACGATGATCGACAACGTTAGTATCTGTCGCAGCTAGAGACTATCGAATAACATCTTGATTAGTGGTTGTAGCAGTCGAAGAATCCTCCTAACAGGCAATGCAGCCACGAAAGGGCTGTGTTGTATGTTACGTAGTTTCTTCGAGTGCTACAACTATCTGTATTAGATGATACAAAGAGTTCTTTTACAGTGCACATGTTAAGATTGAGTCTAGAATTATCCAAGGTTCAGCTTACTCTGTCTCAACGAAGAATTAAGTTTGCTACATTGACTCTAGAGAGTTTGCATAAAATCTGACACGGAATGTACGCGTTCAGGAGACATTGTGCTAGCATTGCCTGGCATGCATTCAGCCTCGGCAAGACGACATCCACCAACGCCATGGCGAAGCACCGCGTGCCATACCACGGGCAGTAGGAACATGGAGGCTTGATACTTGGAGTGCTCCTCCAGCGGCACATGGTCGTCACGCTCTCATAACATTGTCACCTTCTGCATCTGGTTCGCCCACGGCCTGCCAGGAGTACCCTACCCCTCCTGATGCGAGCTGGTGGGGTCGACATTCACCCATGAACCTCGCGGCACAATCAATGCATCCTTGTCGCTGATTGTGGAGAGGGTGTGGGTGCGGAGACACTATCCCGCGCTTTAATGGGCGTGACAAGTTCGAGTGCGGCACAGCGCTATGGTCGTACGGGCGCAAAAGCAAGCAGTCGTGGTTCAGCAGCATGTCGCAGTGGGTGAATGCGCTGACCGCCTGCTCGCCCAGTGCGATACGCGCTGCGTCGCGGATGTTAGCATGTGCACGTTGGGCGACAGCTCAGGGCGGCTGCGTACGGGCGCATGGGGACGGCAGTACATAGGGCTGCAGCCGGCTAAGAGGAGATGAGGGTGTGGGATAGATGGGCGTTCGCAGGCCTTTGCTTTTTGGTGAGAGGGTTTGGGAGCCGGACTGGCCGCTTGGCGCATCTCACTCGCCCTTTCATCCCAAACCACATCAGCGTGCATATTTCCCCTTCCTCCTCCACGCAGGCCTGCTGTAACGTTTCCCAGCAGTCGTAGCCCACTAGTAACAATTGCTCCGCCCGAATCCTCTCCAGCCGTCACACACGCGGAAGCCAGGGCGCAGACTTCCCGATCGACCATGTTCTTAAGATAATTATGTGCACATGTCCGCCATCCCAGTGTCTGACCTGGGCCTCAACTCGAGCGAGAGCAGATATCTCCAGCAGCAAATTGCCGCCTCGCAGCAAGGCTCCAATTCCTCGCGCGCTGCCTCTCACGCCTCCAGCCAAGGCCGTCTCCTCCTGGATCCTTCTAGTTTGCAGGCGCTCAGCGCCCACTTTGACCGTCTGATGTACTCCATCCAGCAGCGCTGGCAGTATGTGAGTTGTCATTTCCATAGCTCCACACGGTGTCGATTGTTTCTGGTGTAGTACTGACAATGGCCAGCTCACCCAGCAGACACAAACAGCAACCCAAATACAGTACGACCGCGCCGGCAACGCCATGCAAATGGCCGACGCTGAAATCGCCCGCTTCCGTGCCATCCTCCGCGAAATCGACGAGCTCCAAGTAGAATTCGACAAGGTCCGTCGCATTGGAGAGATTGTCAAGGGCTTCAAGTCGCGCGTCGACCGTCTAGACCGCCGGATATGAACGCTTTCCAGTACGCTGGACCGGCACCTTCCAGTACCACAAGCTACCTTACACCCACCAACCTACCTACACTCCTTTACCACAACGAACAGACATACCTCGTCCCCACGGATACCCACACTATACCTATCAAGAATGGAACGCCTCGCGGCATGGAAAACACTGGGGGATACCTGAGAGATTGAAAAGCCCCACGGCTCACGGCGTTTTGGTTGCGTTTTGCAGGATCCTTTGCTTTTGGGAATACCCACGTCTCGTTTTGCGCATGTCTCAGTTTGCTTCGGATGCCGTACCCTTCTCGTGTCGTTTGTGACACTTTGGACTGCTTCTTTTGGATTGTTGCGTATTGCTGCGAACCACCGCCTGTTGTACGTCATTGTGGATCGCTGTTGCACGACCCGATACCCTGTTCAGCTTCCGTATGTATGCTTTGCCCCTTTGAGTAATTTGCAACACCTGCTTCGTATTCTTCTTTTCTTGGTGATCAAGATGAACATCGCACCGATCGGTGGTTTGATAAGCCTCTTCTTTCTGAGTGATGTTTACGTGGCTTCTCTCTTAAACTCACGTTGTCTGTCTCCATTGCGCGTCGAATAGTCTACTACTTTATGTTCTTCCAGATGGCACAAAGATGTTGCTCTTAGAATGCAGTGACCAAATGAACCTTCGATGCATCCATTCTACCGCTCAATGTCCGTGTTGCCGTAGACATTGATCTCCGACATGTACCTATAGATGTGGTGGCACGAGGCAAAGCATAGTCGCAAGCAGCTGCAGCACTTCGCGCAAGCCCAGAAGGCTGCACTATCTCCATACCATTCTAGAGCATCACAGTTAATCACAGATATTCAAGAACGCTGTCTCAATCGCCATTTGTACGTAAACACATGCATGTCTCTTTCGAGTTTAGGCCCCCTGATAGCCCTGGGCTAACCTGACATGGTTAGGCAGCCCTGCATCTCCTTCCGAGGTCCCTTGGCTGTTAAGTTGGTACTGCCATCACCGTACCACACTGAGCAGCACCTGGACTTGATGCCGGGCATCTAATTTACATCATTCATTGATATCCATATGCTCCTATCATCCTCGTCCCGCCCTAGGAAAAGGGCAGATCCAAGCGTGTGTTTGTTCCTCTGACCGTCAATTGCTAACGCCCATGGGGTCCGGGGATGCATCAATCAAACGGCTAGAACGGCCCTGTTCAGGCGGACAATTAGGCCGTATCTGGCCTTAGGGGACGGGCGCAGCAACTATGATGGCTATCATGCAGCCACCCGTGAAGAAGGAATGGGCTGGGCAGTCTCATCGCGTTTTCGCACGGTGTCCTCTCTCGACTTCCTGTTAAACATTATGGGTTCGTCGCTATGCCCAAACTTCTTACGCGACCAGGGAGCCATCCGCTACGCTCACTATCGCGCACAGCGCAGTCGCACTGGAAGTTGATATTGGCTATCGCTTCTTTGTTGCTCGTCGAAGCATACGTCCACGTACACAAATACGATGTCCCCCGCCCGTCGCCGCCCCTCGATGCGCCCTTCTACACAGGATGTCAGGACCCCGTCCTAAACACGACTGCGCGCGAATCCGCCGTGTTCATGATGCTCGCGCGCAACTCGGAAGTCAAGGGTGCAGTCTCGAGCGTGCGAAGCGTGCAGGAGCAGTTCAACGACAACTTTGGTTATCCTTGGGTTTTCCTAAACGATGAGGAATGGACTGAAGACTTTAAGCGGAAGGTGAGCAAGGCAGTCGGAGAAGGCGCAGACGTCAAGTTCGAAGTCATACCCAAGGAGATGTGGGGGTATCCCGAATGGATTGACCAAGACCGTGCGAAGAAGAGCATGCAGGATATGAAGAACCGGGGTATACAATACGGAGGACTAGAGAGCTACCACCACATGTGTCGCTTCCAATCTGGGTACGTCGCATCATCTACCTCAAGCCTCTGCCCCATACCCAGCGCACAACACTGACAACAACCCCACAGCTTCTTCTACGACCATCCCGCCCTCCTCCCCTACAAGTACTACTGGCGCGTCGAGCCCAGCATATCCTTCACCTGCGCCATAACCTACGATCCCTTTGTCGAAATGGCCCGCCACAAGAAACGCTACGGCTACACAACCGCCCTCTGGGAGCGCGGCCAAACCGTCCCCTCCCTCTTCCGCAAACTCTCCCTCTACAAGAACGAATACCGCCTCCCCACCTCCACGCTCTGGACCGCTATGATCGATGCCAGCTGGATGCCGTGGCCCTTTCGTCGCATGCTGGCTGCGCTGCGCAATAGGGATGAGCGCGGTGATCTGTGGAATATGTGTCACTTTTGGTCAAACTTTGAGATTGCGGATATGGACTTCTTCCGTGGGGATGCGTATCGAGCCGTGTTCGATTATCTAGACCGTGACGGCGGGTTCTACTACGAGAGGTGGGGTGATGCACCTGTTCATTCGTTGGCTGCGGCGATGCTGTTGCAGCCGCAGGAACTGCATCATTTTAGTGATTGGGGGTATATACATGATGACTTGCAGGTTTGTACTTTTGCGAGTACAGAACAGGAGAAGGCGAAGGGGGTCAAGATACCGAAGTATGAGGATAGTGATGGGGATGGGAGAAAGGAATTGGGGTGTAGGTGTAAATGCGATGATAAGGCTAGGATTGTAGAACCGGTATGCTTGAATAGGATTGGGCTGACGACTGGGTAGTCGTCAAGTGCCCTGTGTATATGTGGAAACCTCGCTATCTTCGCTTCTAGTCTATGGGGTGTCTGTACTCCGGTGGTGTCTCTGTCTCTGCCCATTCGAGATCTATGTGCCCACCTGACTTCACCACCTCCTCGGTAACATCATTGCCGTTGATGACGAGCTGGCTTCCGAACTTGATCCACTCATCAGCTCCACGTATGCGAGCCCAATACTGCCCATTTCGCCGTCCACCCGCAATCTCCATTCCGCAGATAACCATATCCCACTTGTCCGCTGCTATGATGTGGATACCCTGCACGACTGTTCCCTCGTCGTAAGTACCTGCGCGCACCCGATTGACTGCAGAACGTCAGCTACTTGTCTCATATATGCGAAAAGATACGCACATCTGATTGTTCTGCGCGCGACGTGACGCTCAAGCTCAGCCTCGAGTTTCTCTCTGAGTGCGAGGAGCTTCGCGGTCTCTAAAATCATCTGGTAACCTGAGCGGATCGCGAAGAATAGGGTAAGCGCTATCGCCGAACCGAGCCAGGCGATTGGTTCGAAATTAAGGAGGGCTAACACAAGGCGTGTACATCTCGCAGGGAGATTGGTGATGAAGGTCCAGAAGTTGATGCATAGTAGTAGGATGCGAGCCAGAAACCTCAAGATGGCCATCACAAGAGCTTCCAGCATGGCGAAGGTGGTGGGTGTTACTGTTTCGGGTAGCCGTTGGGTTCTTTCGCTTTGCGCAGGAGAATGAGAGTTGGAGTACTTCTTGGTCGCGGTCGAAGAAGGTGAGAGCGATAGCGGGGACTAGCCAACGAGCACCGACCGTATGGTTTTCTTATTCACTTGAGCAAACAGTCTGGTGCGATTCCTTCGCGATCGAGCCATATTTATAGTACGAGTGTTGTAAGAGGTGGGCGTAGTGCAGCGGCGCCTGCAGGGTACTGCACGGATCGAGAGTTTCACTGATGAACTTGGGTGGACGTGTACCGGAAAATAAGAGGTGGGTGAATGTCTTTCTTAGTAAATACAAAGTCGGAGTGGAGCGCAATCAGATCAAGCGATGTGGTTAATACAAGGCTGCTGTGCCAATTCGTGATGTCTCGATGGTCAGTATCTCCGTGCTCTTCCTTCTTTGAACGCCCCAGGATCATTCAACAGCATACTGCGCACGTCATCCATGGTAAAGCCTTTGTGTCTCTCACAACAAGCCTCCATACATCGTAATATCTTTCTTGGCCATTCCACATATTTCGTCCATTCTCCATTTTCATCATCATCTATAGCTGCCATGATCAGAGCATTCCATTGAACAGTCGCTCTTGTAGGAGTTTTCAAAGCCATTTTTGGAGCAGCTATCGACGACAGGATGAATCGTACGGCGCAAAAGTGGGCCATGATGACGTTGCCGAGCTGATTTGTACGGTCAAACATGCGCATGAGTGCTTCGTGTGGCCAGGTTGAGAAGATCGTGAGGATGACCATCATAGCTGCAAAAGACCGGATGGGGTATGGAGCGCCAGGAAGAGGATCCGTAACATTCTCCCAGTCGATGTTGTCAAACACGAGCCCGAAGTCTTGTGGTAAGATCGGGTTAGCGAACGGAAAGAGACCCAACGGCGAGTCACGGGGTATTGGAAGTTCGTCAGTTTCGATTTCCAGGTCTGAGTGCAGCAGGAGTCGAAGTGTTTCGGTGAGCTGGCCAACAATGGCCTTCTCGATGGAATGTATACCAGTTCCATCCATTATGCTGGAAAGGGATTTCAAAGACAGTAGAGCCTCTTGTAAAAGTTCCTGGTCGACTTCAGGAAACTTGGTAAATGCGGTGTCCATAGCTATAGTGTCCAGGCCTTTCTGTGTAGAGAAAGGGCTCCGAAAGCCTTCGCCTATGATAAGCTGAGAGAGGAATGAGCATCCCCGCAAAGATAAAAAGTGTTCGAGAAAACCGTCACCTATGTAGCTTGACTGGAAGCACAGTAGGTAAGAAGTTGCTAACATGATATACGATTCCTCAGCCGTCGGGGGCCAATTAGCGAAGGCGTCCTCGAGGCCAACGATGGCTTTTTGTCGATGTTGGACTGCCAGGGCAGTCTGTGGATTTTCAACTTGAACGGCAAGATGTGATCCAGCAAGAGCCAGCATAGCATCCATGAGATATGGGTACTGCGAGGTCAGTGATGTTAGGTCTCTTGCACGGTGAGCCAGAGGTTGCACTCACTTTATGGCACGCTGCCGGAACATCTGTGACCCAAAGCTCTTCCCAGTCGTGCGGGATCCAAGGATGTGCTGAGACGAGATAGTGATGAAACAGCTGCATATCTTCTGAGCTGTAGATAGTAGGTGTGTCGGAGAGCTTAACAACTTGACGAGGACTTGACACTGCCGACTCGATGTAGTCACGCCGTGCATGCTTGAATACATCGGGATATCTGCAAACCACTAGAATAGTTGGTGAGATGTTGATCTTAGTTCGCAACGCCACACTTACGTCCGCGCTTGTCGCAGTTCGCGCATGAAGGCCATGTCTCTGGACACTAACACAGTTTAGTGATATGACGAGGCACTGGGAAGTGGATGCGGTACCTTGATCTTGCGTCGCTTGCACGGGATGCAGCCCAGACGACTTTTAGTGTGCCCGCGTCGCTGTCGTAACCCTGTCGGTGCGGGTGTGTCGCCGCTAGAGGCGGTGGTGCTGCTAGATGTGAGTTAGGTATATATTCGTGCATTGCGTGAGAAGCGTACGATTGGTCAGATCCGTTCACATTGTTTTCTTTTGGTCGTATGTGTTGCTTCGATACTCCTGCATGGTGTATCGTTTGCGGAACATCGTCAGGTGCTTTGGGATCGTTGGCAGGAACGCTGTTCCCAAGGAAGTCGCCTATGCTGTCCAACACAATGTAGCCATCAAACAAATCGTCCATGGCTGAGAGTATGTCAAGCTAAGAAATAGATATGATGATGCAATCTACAATTTTCCATGTCACCGGTGGTGTTGCCTGAATCAACCGGGATGATGCCAAGCCGTCAAGGTGTCATCGTTTGCTGGAGGCCTTGTAGTCGGGAAGTCGGCGTCAGCGGCGCTGGATCCGAGCATTACAAAGACAATTGACGCTAGAGGCCATGAACTCTGGGTGCGTGCATGTCTTCTCATACAAATGTATGTATGCATGAAGCGGAGGCATAAAGGAGCTTGAGACGTCGTCATCTTGACAGGGTACTGGTCCCGCATTTGCATCGCGGACGCAATGTCGCGTGAGAGAGTCGCGATGCCTTCAGCGAGTGCAATGGCAAGAATCTTGGGTCAATGTTACATTTTCCATGAGCAGAGTGAAAGTGGAATCTCGTGATGATTGGAAGTCGCTGTATGGATCCATGAATTATGGATGAGGTTGCTGTGGGTCGGCAAACGTGACGGGGCAGAAAGCGTTGGATGGGTTTCTCCCTTGTCCGCCCAGTCGGGTGGTTAGCCGCAAGTGACGTCTCCCCTTCACCAGCACCGCCGTTCTTCTTACCAACACCGTGGCAATCTCCACGCGGCGCCTCAGCATTCACCTCGCCATCTGCACGCAGCCTCGACTGGCTTACCAAGCGACTGCGACTCTTCCCATGTGCTGCCTAATAGTGGAGTGAGGAGCACGCCCCACCAGCCACGACCAAGCCCAACCAACGGCTGAGCACTCGAGCACGCCCAAACCTCCTCCAATTCCGCGCTCGAGGTCGCGAAGCACGCCGCAATGCCTTCAATTCTCTCCGACGAGGACAAGCAGACGGTCAAGCGCACCGTGCCCAAGTCGGCCAACAAGATCCACACCGTCGCCGTCGCCAAGTTGTACATCGCCTACCCGGACCGGCACCGATGGACCTACACGGGCCTGCAGGGCGCCGTCGTGCTGGCCAACGACCTGGTCGGCAACACCTTCTGGCTCAAGATGGTGGACATCTCGGTAGGTGCGAGGGACGCCGCAGCACAGAATGCACGACTGACGGATGCAGCCCCAAAGTCGCGGTGTCATCTGGGACCAGGAGATCTACGACACCTTCTCGTACAACCAGGACCGCGTCTTCTTCCACACCTTTGAGCTCGAGGACTGCCTCGCCGGCCTGTCTTTTGCCGACGAGAAGGAGGCCAAGACGTTCAAGAAGAAGCTCGACGACCGCGAAAAGAACGCCCACAAGAACACCAAGAACAAACCCTTCAGCGCATCTGCCGGTACCAGCGCGCCCTCAGCCAACGGAAAGAGCGGGGGCCATGGCCACGGCCTGCTGGGAAGGCTCACCGGACGTGACCGCCATTCTTCCTCACCTGGCCCGCCGCCAGCGTCCATTATTCCACCCGTCAGCGTCACATCGCCCGTGCAGAGCACCCACTCCAACGCCACAAGCGCGCGCAACTCTGCCATCGACACCACCGACCCATCATGGCAGCCGCTGCTGAAGGAATTGCTGGCCATGGGCATCACCGAGGACCAGATCGAAGAAAACGCCGATTTCATCAAGCTATACATTGAGCAGCGGAAGCAAGAGGAGAAGCTCAAGGACGAGAACAACCAGCGCAAGTCCAGAGCGCCCCCGCCTCCACCACCGAGTGCGCCTCCCATGGCCGCATCTCTCAGCCCTCAAAACACAGGTGGCTCCAAGCGAGGACCTCCGCCCGCGCCTCCGCCAGCGCGTAGAACAAGGACGGACGCAGCCCTCAATCGCAACTCTTCAGGAAGCCCTGCGCCGCCATCACCACCGCGCGAAGCTTCACCGTCTCCCGGGCCGCCCAAACCAGTATTCAGAGCGCCTCCACCACTTGCGGAAGCAGGAAAGTTCGCCAATCTACCTCCTGCACCACCAGGCAGATCGCGAGCCTCATCCAACGCAGCCAATCCAGGTCCTCCACCGCCGCCTCGCCCGC